CGGGAAATAGAACGCAGGCACCTATGATCAAAGACAGCTAGTCTTTTCATGTCTTCCACTCTCAGTGGCCAGGTCTCACAACCATAAAGGAGGACGGAGCGGACTGATGAGCAGTACACTCGCTCTGATTTCTTCCCACTGTCAGTGAAATACACCAGTCATTACTTTTAAAGCATTAAACTCTACTGAACTACAAGTACCAAGTCTCATGCACTGGACTTCACATCACTGTCATCATCATCTGTCTTTTTCCTTTGCTGATTGTACTGGACCAGTGCCAGTGTTTCAGTTCAATTTTCATAGTTGCGCACTAATATGTTAATACATTTAGATGACCACTTTCAAATCGAAGGAAACGTTCGTTCTTTATTTCACTGTTAGCCAGTAGCAAACACGAAATACTCTTAAATTTTATTAAAGAAATATCAATTCTTAGGTATATTAATCAATAATAGGTATAATAATGAACTAGACTATTTAAATGGATGCTATATTTCCCAGCTCTGATTCATTTGGAAAAAGTTAACGGAACATCAGTGATAACTCATTCAGTTGGCACTCTGCAATACATGATTAGTTTACTTATAGACTTGGGTATCGTCGGCTTGGGGAGGCCAGGATTCCCAAGCGTAGAGGACGATTGAACGCATTAAATGATTCTAAATCTGACATTTCTTGTTGCAACGACGCCTGAAATGCTTCAGGTTAAAAGTATATCACTATACGATCGGAAATCTGATTCGCCATACCTTCACGAAAAAAATCACACAGAAACTAAGGTACACGATATTCCCGACAACTGTTAATACGCTGTAGTTTTATCTGCAAAGATAACAAGCTGATTTCAACTTACCACTTATTATCGACTAACTTTAAAAACTGATTTTCAGAAATTTTAGTGGCAGAATCATAACTGATGAAGCTGCCCAAGTCAAATGTGAAAAATAATTCCTCACTGACAATATTGGCTACCGGTGATGCAGTATGAAGAATTGGGAGAGATTCGTAATACCTGGCTAAATATTAACGTAGCTAGCTGGGGATTTTATTCCTTAAGAGATAGTGTCTAATTTCAACAATCCTCAGTTAAAACCTCACCCCCTTCCTATTATGAATATACTAGATGTCATGAATACAATAGGGAGTGGTTAGCACTTTATAACAAATTTCATTTTACAGTTGTTTTAGTAATTTTTAAAAAAAAGATGATATAGACACCTTTACTGAAATTAAGATGTATTATGAAACGTAACTATGTGAACAAAGATGTCATACAATAACACTTGTGAATAAATCTTTCAATGCACTATTACTGGAGACTTCTAAATACTTTTGAATTCTACCGCCTAGTAATTCTGTTTATCAGCAACTCCTTGAATACTGGGAGCATTCAAAATGACCAACCATAATAACAATATTATTATTTCCTTTAGTTCCTAGAGAAACATAGGGCTTCAGCTGCGCACCTCTATTGCCTTCTGTTTTCTGCCAACTTTTTCACCCCGCTCCAGGTCTGTCCACATGCTTTCATCTCCTCTTCACATGACCTCCTCCAAGTCACCCTTGCGCTGACGACCAACTCGCCGCTTCCCTTTCGGGTTCCACTCAAGCAATGGCTTGTCTAGTGATGTCACTTGATGGTTTTCTCAGAGTAAGGCCAATCCATCTCCATTTCTTCCTGCCTGTTTGTTTTACAATCGGTTCCTGGTTGGTTCGCTCATTGCCAGAAATCCCTGTCACTGATCTTTTCTGGCCGGCCATCTGATCTTGAGTATTGAGTGAAGACAACTGTTAATGAAGGTCTGTAGTGTGTTTGAGGTGCTCTTTATGACGCGCTGGCCAAGTCTCCGATCCGTATAGTAGGTGGCACTGACTTCACATTGGAGTTGAAAATCCGGATGTTATTTTTGATGCCGAGTGCTGTTTACCTCCATACAGACTTAAGAGTAATGAAAGCTTGTCTTCCTTTCCCGATCCTTGCTTAATAATAATAATAATAATAATAATAATAACGACAGCTTTATTTTGTACAGCGTTTACATATTGTACAAAATCTTAAGCGTAGTTTGCTGCATGGTATTTTCTCTTCATCCAGGATCATCAAATAGAATATCACGTGACGGTACACCAAGTGAAACACTTCTGCCTGACATGAAGCCCATACCAAGATACTATGATGTCTCTCCTTTTGTCTTCTTCGGTAAATAGATGTAATTTGATTGAACGGCAATAAGAAAAGTCTCAGGAATCCATTCTGTCAACTAAGGACAGTTATCTCTAGAACAGCGATACGCCCTAACCCACGATTATGCTTTTTTCTCACGATAACTAGACACTTCCAAATCAGCAGGTGGTAAGCACACTAAATACTCGAAATATACCCATTAATTCATAAGGAAAAACAGTTTTTTGTTCAGCGGAGAAATATCTCTTTTCAACAACTGTACAGTTGTATTTATATCACCGGAAAAAGGCATTAAGTGGCACTAGAAACCGCTCAGTCAATATTCCACATATGATAAGATTGAAGATAATTAAAATGATGTACTAAGTGAGTGAAGTTAAAATGGATGAATAACAAAACTTTCAAAGATTATTAAGTAAGTGAACTGTTATAGAGATTTTTAAATTGTAGGTCGTGTTGTCTAAAACACCAACAGTACGATGATGAAAACAGTAAAGACGGCGAATATGAAGTGAAGCGGGATGAATTCATGTGGTAAAATAGAATAAATAAAAGAACTTTACTATGATCAAGGTAAAGAAAGGGGTTTGACAAAACGTTTTCGAATACATAATTTAGGCTTTTTATCTATGTATAAGCGATATATTGGTGACACCTTGATTATTTGTGATGAAAATTGTTCAACTGCCGAAGTTCTTGTTAAATTTAATGGTTCTCACTCATCTATGCTTTTCACTATGGTAGAAGAGTCGAACTCCGCGTTTCACTTCTGAGGTGTAATGCTCGATAGGAGGGAGGACTGTACGTTAAAAAGGTCGATCTACTGAAAGCCAACATTTACAGGTCAGTACAGTAACTTCAACAGTTGGGTACTCCTAGGCAGCAAGAGAAATCCCATTCGTTCTCTATGCTCCAGAATTCGGAAAATTTACTCTGTAGATACGATCGACTTAGAATTGGAAAGCCTTTGTACAACTCTCTTAAATAATGAATATCCTAGAAGGTTTATCGACAGAGATACTAAGTAAGAAATAGTCCTTAGCTAAATCACAGTGCCGAAGAAGACACTGTTTATGAGTTTGGCTTTCAAAGGTGACAGTATTTCCGAAGTAATTAAAAGTCGTTTATCTAAATGTTTTAAACGCTATTTTTATGCAGCTGACTTACATTTACTACTTACTAGCCGTCAACGATAGACTACTGCCTATGTCCGCCTCTGTGTGGATATACTCTTTCTCATGCTCGTGTGGAGCTGATTACATTGGACGTTGTAAGCGTAATCTCCGTAAACGTGTAGCTGAACACTGTCCGCTTTGATCAATGAAAGGTGAGCAAATGACGACAAAGTCTTTAATCTGTGAACACCTTCTGGGGTTAGATCGTCCACCCCCAAGTGATTTATCCTTTAGAGTTATCTACAGGACCGAATCCGATCACTCCAAAAGCTTACATCTCCTCCACTAATGCATAACCGAAGCTCTAGAGATACACGGACAAAAACTTGAATTATGTATTCAAAAACGTTTTGTCAAACCCCTTTCTTTACCTTAGTCATAATAATGTTCTTTTATTTTATTCTATTTTACCACTTGAATTCATTCCACTTCACTACTTCACCTTTCCCGTCTTTATTGTTATCTTCATCGTACTGTTAATTTTTTAGACAACACTTGATCTAGAATTTCAAAATATTTATGCCAGTTTTTTGAAAGTTTTGTAATTTATTTACTTCAACTCTGCCCCCTCAGTACATCGCTTTAATTATCTTTCTTCTAATCATTTGTGGAATATTGACTGATCGATTTCCAGTGCTACTCAATACCTTTTTCCGTACAGCTTGAAAATGAAGTCGTTGAAAAGAGATATTTCTTCGCTGAACAAAAAACTGTGTTTTTACATTAAATACTCGCCAGAGTATAAAACGTAAATTAAAGGTCAACGTTTATCAAATTTAAACAAACTGTAGGAGGAAAAATATCTGTGAAATATCGATGGAATTTTTCAGTAGCCCAAATTTAAGCTAATCATCAATTATTATTATGATTATTGAAAGCCATGGAGTACTGGACAGCTGTTTCATCCTACTTTGGGAATCATCGGCAGTACGCGCCCACTAGGATTCGAACCCAGGACCTTCTGGTTACAAGGCAAGCTCGTATACCTCTAACTGATATTAATCCGTGATCAACTCGTAAAAACATAACTAACCCTTACAAATCAAACTATAGAAAATTAATCTGATGCTCTCTAGTGACTTGCTACAGGATGGAGTTTCCTGGAGTTCTTGTCAGAAGTTGTGACCAGTGAGGTCCAATTAATGTCACATGTGTGTGAATGGATGTCCCACCAACGACAATGGATGGGGTAGCGCTAAACCACGAATAGGTAGAAGTTAGAATTCATGAGCCATTGAATCGGGTCCAGTGGCTGAATGGTATATGAGCTTGTCTTGTAACCGGAAGGTCCTGGGTTCGAACCTCATGTGGTGGGTGCGTACTTCCGATGATTCCCAAACTGGGATGAAACAGCAGCTGTCCAGTACTCCCTGCTGGTTTTCAATGGTTCTCTAACTGATATCAATCCATGATCAACTCGTAAAAACATATCTAACCCTTACAAACCAAACTATAGAAAAACCAACAAGTTGAAAGAAGAGGCTGGCAGGCGACAAATACTATCTGCCCCTCCCCATACTTTTGGTCATATTACTATGGCCAAATTTCTTGGATTACCCTTACCAATCATTTTGGTCTCATGATAACCCTTGCAAAACAAACTATAGAAAATTATGATTATTATTATTATTTTACTTTACTGAGTATCTCTTTAGGCTTCATTCTGTTTTGATTGTTATTTTTAGCATTAATGGAGGTGCGGATATATTCAACAGGCCTCATAATCTCTTACTTTGTTTCTTTCCAAACACCACACTAGAGAGAGTGTTTTTTTTGACAAACAGACCTGACTAAAAGACGTTTGCTAAAATCATTTCTGTCAACCACAATAACATAAACACTCACTCTATCGCATGGCATACACTGAAGGGGTAAACAATTCACTGAATTGAATTTCAAAAGAGAAAGAAATTCTGCTTCTTCTTCTTTTTCATTAGGTATACAATAGCTCAACTTGTTTTCAAAATGTCAGTAGTCTATTGAGGTACATGTGAATTAGTAATCATAAGAAACCATAGAGATAATAATATATGCGTAGTCTTGATTTTTATTTGAAAAAAAAAACAGCACGAATCTGTCAATCTGTTGAAAGTAATGTGCCATTAAAAACAATCACATGATAGGCGGTTAGCGTTTTATAGTTTATGAAATATAGAAATAATTTAGAAAAAAAAGCAAGAATGATAAAAACAAAACAATAATAATAAAAATGAAGCATAGAAAAAATCAAGTCAATTTTTTGTTTTAGTTATATTCTTGTACTTAACCATTGAGCATATTCTTCAATTATGTTATACCGTTCACAACGTGTAATCACATTTCTGGGTAGTACACCGTGACTATCATGTACTGGCACACCGATATAAGCACCAGCCAATGCAGTAGCCATACAACCAATTGAGTCTGTATCACCACCCAGTCCAATGGAATAGACTACACAACGAAGAAGAATTGACTGGAAAAGAAATAAATTATTAGACAAAAGTCATTATACAACAAGATGATATGTGGTGAGAGCTGGCTGTGAACACGCCAAAATTATAGACAATAATTTACGCCAATGTTTACGTCGTGAAACAGGGTTATGGAGAAAACAATAACCAAGCTTAACCAAGCACAGCGGAATTAACGTGTGGAAATATGATTTACAGATATATGGCTTCATTTTCTGAGAAACGTTCATAAAAACAATAGTAGAATGACCTTCAGCAAGAAAACAACCAATTAGAGGACGTTTTTTCCCAGCTGACAATGAGGCACATAAAAACCTATATATATCTCTTGATTTTCTCAATTAACAACCTGTTGCCTAGCCCGTGTCTTCTGACGAAAAATATTAACAGATGAAAAAATATATGAATAAAAGTATTTTGTACTCATATGGTTGACTTACGTCGAATTTTGTATGAAGTTCTAGCGAGGCTTTTATTTTTGATTATTGACGTTTCATTTTGTCAGTCATCGGAAAGAAAGCATCGATCAATTTTGGTGACATGGCTCTCAAATCGTTTGTTACGGTTAAAAAGTGTTCATACCATGAATTCCTGGTAGTTCTATGTATTTTGATCAATATTCACTAAAAGATTATCTTTCCTACATTCATATTTATCCCCTGTGGTATTATACCATCTATTAGAGTGTTTCGTTTATCGAAGTGTAGTAACCTTAACTAACATATTTCTGTGAAAAGAAGTTTGGACTTGATTTATTCCACCATCTACTTGATCATGATCGTGTTATTCGTATTAAAGACACACGCCTTGATATCAATCAAGGTGGACATTTATCTCTTTGAAGTCAGTTTTTGGAAATCTGCTGCTGCACTCAGCATTGAAGAACAACACTGGAATTTTCAACACCACAGGTTTGGTGAGTCACTAAAAGAATTACCAACAACCAGCAGCTGCCTTTGCTAACTCCATACTGAAGATTGGATGACCAGCTAGAGAGGATTAGCAGCAAAACAACTCTGGGAATGAATCAACCAAGAACATGTTTCTCAACAAATGTTCCAAAGGAAATGGAGGTGGATTGAATATACGCTGAGGAAACTGTTGAGTGACATCTGGTGTCCAAGCCATTGTTTGAGTGGAACCCAAATGAGAAATGGCAAGTTGGATGTCTAAAGGTGACGTGGAGGAGATGACACCTTATGGACAGTCGTGAAGCCATACTAAAGAGGTCTGCAGAGAACAGGATAAAGTGGAGATGTGCTGTAGAAGCCCTACTTTCCATTCGAACGGCAAGCAATGAGAAAAAATAGTGTAATATTTATCACAGCACATAAACAATCAACATCTGTAAGAATTGAACATGAATTATCTCTCAAAAGCAAAAATTTAAAACAAAATCAACATTTTCCAAGAGTTGATTTGTAGGGATTTGATTTGCTTCAAGTTCGATCATCGACTGATATCAGTTAGAGAACCATTGAAAGCCAGGATGCAGTGGGCAACTACTTCGGGAGTACGCACCCACTGGATCTTAAACCCAGGACCTTCCAGTTACACGGCAAGCTTTTAGACCATTCAGCCACTGGGGTCCAAATCAATTAATGATTTTAGCACAACCACAAGCCAATGTTATCGGCGAGTATTTGTCCTCATTATGAATTCATTGATAATTGAATCGGGTCACAATGGTTACTGGCCTATGAGCTTGCCTTGTGATTGGAAGGTTCTGGGTTCTAACCCGGTAGATGCATACTGATGAAGAGGAGTCCCAAATTAGGCTGACAAAGCGTTTGTCCAGTACTCTATGATTCTCAGTGGTTTTCCTAACTGATATCAATCCGTGGTCAAACTAGAAAATCGACAGTTTTATTAACGTAGAGTAGAATCTTTTAGTATAAGAAAAAGCAAAAACAATCTCTTACCTCAAAATGAATACCAGGTATAGGAGTTAAACTACGTAAAAATACATAGACTGCAGTTGGTACAGAGTTGATAGCCTCCAAATTATTACCTATCAAGTAAACAGAAATGAAGCATAAACATAAGTTTCATTTAAAAGATTATTTAATTTAATGACTGATGGAGTTTAATTCATTCTGAAAACTGACAAGACTAATGTCATTCTGATTAGAGGCAATAATTTACGATGAGGATGTAAAACAATGGTGAAAATACACGTCAGAAAGATATAATCACTAGACTAAACCGTAAAGTGCTCATTACCTTAAATAAAACAAGAAATTTAATCGCTAACTGACTTCAAGTTGGAGAACCATTAAAACCCACAGAGTCCTGGACAACTGTTTCGGCCTTGTATGAGATGTGGAGGTGTGAACAAACAAACAAACAGACGAAACAGCTATCCAGTACTCCATAGGTTTTTAATGGTTTCCCCAAGTGAAATCAGTTCCTGATTTAACATGATATCAATCAATTCTCTGAAAACCAACACTTGAAAACAAGAAATGGTTTCACTGGCTCTACAACTGGCATTACAATGCCTTTATAACTGATACCATATAAAAATGAACAGCATTATTTTGGAGGCATATATGCATATAGCTTTTGTCCTACAGACACGTTAACTGGCCTGCATGTCAGTGGTTCCTAGAACCATAAATAGAAAATTGCAGAGAAATCATAGAAATTTCCTTAGCACACGGATTCAAACAGCCCCTTCTGCTTGAATATTGAAAGAAATATCATTATTTTACCTAATTCACAGGATTTTGCTTAATTTTGTGTAACAGGAAACTGTGTAACTCAATCAATGGTAGTTAAGTATTTCACATTAAGGTAAAAATGAAATAGCATCCAAACGTATCGCAGAGAAAACGAGACATCCAACTGTTGAAAACAAGAAAGTGTTTGTTTGTCTCCTCATTTATTAAGGAGAAGCAGTCTCACAAATGATTGGCAATAGAATGAAAGCAGCAGTAAAAAGGTACTTCACTGCAGCTAAGCTAGTAGCACTATGCAGTAGCACATGCTCTATAAGCCCTGTAAACTGGATAAATACCCTGTTGATGTCACCTCCAATCGCCTATGCAAATTAACGTGCACTTAAGGGAGCAAGTACATTGGAAGGAAAGAAAGAAGAGTTTCTATCCGGTTTTTAGAGCATATCACAAAAAACGTATACCTAAAAAGGAAGCAGATATTCGCAAAGTGCAATTATCAGACACCTTGTGGATAGGAGTCATTTCTTCGAAATTTCAAAACCCTTGAAAAAATATTAAATATACAAGGGATAGCAGATTTACTAGGATTTGTTGAAGTAATTGCAATCAAGCGTTTTAAACGAAACTTCTGCATACAGAAAGAGACTGTCATCAATCTCTCCCTCCCTTGGTAACTGTATTACTTTGATTACACCGATTAGTCATACACCTTAGTGAGTTCAGTTCACTGAGCAAGTTTTCCACTTTATGAACTATAACCTTCTTGAGTTACTATGTGAACTTACACTGTGTACTGGATTTTTCTGTTTTCCGTCTTCTCCATCCCCTACCTACTTTTCTATTTTAAAAACGTATAAACTGATGTTAACTTAAAGTTAAAATTGTAACGCTTCTTATTTCGAATCCGTTAATTTTATAGTGTCCTCTCAAACCCTAAAGTATGTCATTGTCATTATTTCTAACCATTGTAATTTTAAGTAGTTCGCAACTGATGAGAACCTCTCAAATAGAATGATGGTACCATTTTATACTGCGAATTCAACCTTTCTTTCTTCATCAAAAAGTAGCACATAGCTATATTCTATGATAGTGAAGATGTTACACTGTTACGGAATAACAATATTGTCATACAAGAAAGACGTTGTAACACCTTGTAGTTTTTGTACAATAACACTAGATTATCTGAATGTTTAATATTGGTCGGTCATTTGGCATCAGGATAAGTGAATGATACCTGGACAGTTAAACAAGAAACGGATGCTTACCTAAACGACCAACAACATCTTTGATTGAAGGTTCTGTTCCAGATGAAAGAAAATACTTTACATGTTGAAATCTTTCTCTGTATGCATCAAGCGCTTGTCTCCACACAGGATGTTTGAAGTTAACAAATGAGTATTCAGTCCTTTCAAGTCTTTGTAATAAATAGTCGACAAATTTAAACGGATCCAATCTAATGCGATCACAGGCTAGAAAGAAAATCTTTCGAACTGCATAGGCTTGTATAAGTGCACCACAGATAGCCAAGGGTGAGTATGCGTCAGACGAGTAACATCAACAATAAATCTCTAAAAGATGGTGTAAAATAAAACAAGTAAAGGATTGCTTATTTATGAATACTTTTTCAACTTGAGAGACGATAAAATTGTTAATATTAGTGTGTGTGTGTGTGTGTGTGTATTTGGTCTATTTCAGGTGGAGACAAAACATTTTCCTTATCTAAATGGAATAAGCTTCTGTCCGTAATCATTCAGCAAAATTACTTCGACATGTACTTATACACGTAACTTTACTCTATTTTACCGGATCAACAAGAGATAGTTAATCTTACAAACATAATTAGACATCCATAAAAAAATATTTGAGCAAAGAATATTCTTTCCGATAATTTCCTTTTCTGGCTCTACAATTATATATATATATATATATGCATAAAACTTGTGCACTGTGATAGAGTATAATTCCATCAAGGTTAAAATTTATTTTGATAATGTCTCACAGTGTTATACAGCAATATTTACTGATGGCCAAGTCTCCAGCACAGTTTATTGCTCATAACCATATCAAGGTTATATCGTATCCCCTTGATATGATCTCGACCGATAGCAGCTACCTTGATGTGGTGGTCGGGCTTGCATATCGCAATGACCAAACAGGCTACACTGGCTGGAACTATTGTTCCTGCAGGTCCTACCATGCCAGGAAGGTTGTAAGGATAGCTATTAGACTAAAAGCAGTTGCTGGCATGGTGTAAGATTTTGTTTTTTTACACTATGCTGGCGATCTGAGGGCAAAGTCGTACTGCTGGGGAACAGGGATGGGGGTGATGGTAGTTATAGTGATAATAATAATACCAATGATAATAAAAATAATATTAATGACGATATGCATGTCAAACATGCGCAAGACAACACCAACAATAAGGAACCCAAATCATCAATAGTAATTCCATACAAGAAAGGAACCTCGGAAACCACCTTACGCAGAATTCTTGACAAGGGAGGAATAAAAGTGGCTAGCATCCCAATCCACAAACTCAATTAGAAACAAGCTTTGTCGGTTAAAAGACCAATCCCGTGGAGCCTTTAAAACAAAACAATTTAGTTTATCTAATACCCTGCTGCCGCAATGATTGTCAGGTCAAATACATTGGTCGAAGTGGCAGAACAGGGGCAGTCAAATTAGCCGAGAATAAAATCCTGGCCAAATCTAGATTGGTTGACCCAAATAAGATAAGAAATCTAGAAAATAGTTCAGCTATAGCACTACATGCAGTTTCGCACAACCATACAATAGGGTGGGATAAGATGAGTGTTTAAAAATGTAACAGGGTGTAGGGAGAGATTGATAACAGAAGCTTTGTTTATCGAATCAACTGCAAATAAATGTAATAGGAATGATTCAACACCTGTCCACCCAGATATCTGGAAAATTCTACCCTCCCTACAACGACAAATAGGAGAGGGCAAAGAAAGCTATAAAACTCAAATTTCGAAGTCGTGGGTTTATAATTGATATGATTATGAACAATAAATTTCGTTCAAAACGTCATCCAGTAAATAATAATACTGTTTCACTGTGGGATACATCTAATAAACAAACTAATATGGAATACTGATGGTAATATTTCTCAAAACCATTCGCGATAGTATAAAATTATTCACTTTAACATTTTCGAAATTCTGGATACAATTAACCTTCATTCAGATATTCTCCTACTTTTCTGTTCATTTTTGCAGATTATCGTGTCATGTGCGTCGGTAGCACAGCGGTTAGGACGCTCGCCGACCATGCACATGGTCCAGGGTTCGATTCCCGGCGGATCCACTTCTTTACCTCGCTAAGCCAATAATAAGACTGGTAAAGGGGGATGTTGGGCATGGGGCTAGCAACCCCATCCCGTAAAAATAAATACCACTGCTACTGAAACTCCAGGCCTCTAGCCTGAAGCCCTATGCCCCACTGGGAACGTGAAGGAATAAGAAGACGTCATGTAACGTTCATTTTCTTTGTTTTTCACTTTATTCATTTAGAATATAGAGATTCTCAGTAATTCACTTTTGTGAGAAAGCTCCAATTACACTGATTCAAACATCTAATTTTATCACGGATAATCAAAATGCACCGATTCCCATATTCACTTGCTAAGCAAGAAAAAATAACTTATGGGATTCTTGTAAAACGCTAAGAATAGCTCCAATGTACTGTTTAAAATTTCAACGTCATGAAATGTCCTACAACAATGTTAATATTTATAGTGTAAGCATTTCCATTCACACAGATTATCTAATTTTCTATCTATCATTCTGAATAAATGAGTGAAGTAAACTGAACTTCAGTAATTGTGTCATACTGGAATTGAAAAATGAGCCTCAATTGTCTGTGATTTTTAAAAAAATCAGCTACACTGTGCATGGATTTGTTTTCAGCAGGCTCTTTTTCGATAACTCAACTGTCTGTAAAATAAACCAACAACTTGGATAGATCCAACACACTTCCTCGTTGCATGAATTTCAAAGTCATGCAAACGTTCCCTCCTCAACAACTGTTATTTACAACCTTTATTAGTGTTTCACAGTTGTGTCATTCAAATTACCTAAAATAAACTTAAACTATAAGTCTCTGGAAGAAAAATCATGGCTGCTTAAATTTAAAAAAAAGAATTATATGATTGACTGCATTTGTACAACTTTCGAAGATGAATTATAGTGCCTGGCAAACAAAATATCCACAGCTCATACATAAAATATAGTAAAAACAGTAACCAAAAACTGATTTACTTCAAGATCGTATTCAGAAAACCTTAAGGCATAAAGTGCTGCAGGTGCAGCTCTCATAGCCCCACCATTACCGTATGATCCTGTCCCGTCAAATAATTCTGCAGCATACTTATATGGGTCTTTGTAGTTGGCTTTTTTCATTGCAGTAAACACACGTCCTATAGTTCCACCATAGTATCTATGCGCTCCATCTTCAAAATAGTCGGTTGCGAACCTTGAAAATATGAAAGTTGTAGTAATTTTAAGCATTTTAACAAATAGTACAGCAGAAAATAAGTGACAAAGGACTAGTCTAAATTATTGTAGTAATAAATCACTTGGTAAATCCCAATTATATAACATAAGCTATGTGAATTACGAGGTAAGATACATTCACTTTGGCTACTTAGTCAGTTCAGCACATAATGCAGTATGAGATGAGGAGGCGCAGGAAAATCACTCAAAGGTAAGGGCGGACATGCACACAAAATAAAAAAACCACTACTTATTTCTACAACATATACACGGGAAACAATAAGCTGTAGGTGAATATCTCATTGTTACCCAAATCCAGACAGTAACACTGCGTTAAGTAGCTTGATACTCTTGCATAACTTAATCACAGTATTAAGAGAAATTAACACACATCACTAGCAATGTAGTGTCCTTAGAGCTGCATGGTTTAGTTCCAAGTAGCCCGCTTCAATGTAAAGTCAGCTTCCTGAATTCTTCGTGAATGATATTATTGTCTCTTCTTATGGCCTTAACCGTGATTAGTTGTCTTCAGAGGTCTTATCTTTTTGTTGACCCGTATTGATATTGGCAGTTTCCTTAACCTCTCTGCTATGCAAGTTCTTCCCTATCGATCGATAAATCTGATGTATGTTTGAACATGTCTGTTGAATCAGACTGACCCGAATACCAGGTTTATAGGAGTTCTCTGGCGTTATTATTATTACTTCGTCTGAGTAAAAGTACCACATTTTCCTAATCAAACTGGTACCTGTATTCATCCCCATTCATTAATATAAAGGAATGCGTCAAGTCTTTCAAACACTGGTTCACGTCCTTGAATCTGAAGGCAAGGGTGACCTCCACTTTGGACAAGAATATTTTTAATAGTTGGTACTACTAATCTTTTAGATGGTACCGCATCTGTCTTCCTTAGCTGTTTGCTTATTTTGATCTACATAATATTAAATGAAGGGAATGTTTTCGACTGTAGGTGATATAAATTCCAAAAAGTTTCAGCTCATCAACAACAATTACAGAAATATTCTTCACTTATGGCTAGTCAGAAGGCATGACACATTCCTTCATATCAATGAATTTGGAAGACTACAGATACTAATTCGACTCAGAAAGCATAGTGCTTTTACTTAGAGGAAGTAATAAGTATGCTGGAGAATTCCTGGAAGCCTGGCATTCAGGCAGATTTGAACTCAACAGGCATGTTGACATAAATCAGACTTATCAGTCGACAGAGAAGTCATATGGCAGATAGGTTAAGGAAACTATCAATACCATTACAAGTGAACATAAGGGATGAGAAAACCTCTGAAGAAAAGCGATCACAGTGAACGTCACCAGGGGGGATAGCTACGTCATACATAGAGTTGATGTTAAGAAGTGTAATAAAAGCCTAGCAATCAAACTATCCAGCTCAAAGAATACAGGAAAACATTCACCGGAGCAACAAGAATGTTTCCATTATTTTAAAATCCTACGAGAGTTGCACGAGTCTATTTAATATGGTTATCAACCAAGGGACGTGTGTACTGCTCATCAGTTCGCTCCGTCCTTCTCTATGGCTCTGAAACATGGCCAATACGCGTTGAAGACATGAAAAGGTTGACTGCTTTCGATCATAGATGTCTGCGATCTCTGTCTCACGTTAGGTGGTTTCACAAGATAAGTAATGTTGACGTTAGGCGTAGAGTGTTGGGCAAACAGGGAAAATCAATCGACGAGGTTATAAAGTTACATAGACTAAGATGGCTAGGTCACGTGGTGCGCATGCCTAACCACCGCCTCCCCCGACGGGCATTGTTAGCTGATATAGGTTCAGGTTGGAAAAGAGCCAGTGGTGGCCAAACAAAAACATGGCATCAATCCATGAAATCCTTGACAGTTAAACTGAGTCAGGTAGGGAGATGCAGACTCCCGGGTTGGGGCCCTCGGGACTCTAGGAATCAATGGCTGGAGACAATAGGTGACATGGCTCAAAATCGTTGTCAATGGCGCAGATGTATTCAATCTCTGTAATCTTTCATATTCCTTTCTACCATTACCCATTCTGTTTCACTCTTATATCTGTCAAACTCTATAAATTCTCTTCACTCATCTTCTTGTCTACCTCTGTGCTATTTGGAAGGTGGCAACTCGAACTGCTGCACTTCGGTGCCAAGTTCTATGTTGAATCCAGACAGACAGATTTAATATGGAACAATATAGTTATAGAAAAAATTAGCCGTATTCTGAAAAAACCCTTTACTTTGTCAAGGTCTTAACAACTTCGAATATTCCAGAGGAAATCATTTTCCGTAAGGTTGCAAATGAGGTCTTATGAGAAATCCTAAGTTATACGTCAAAACGGATATATATGCATTATTTAGAAAAAAACTGCCAATTAAACATGCTTCGATTCTAACAGCTAATGAAAACGAAGAAACTCCTTGAGAGAATAAAGGCTAGACGTGGAAAACCGGCTTTTCCACTGCTGACAGTGCTGTCACTTGTCATAAGTTTGAGGGTAAACTTGTCAAATTACTAACTACCCTTAAAGTATTTATGGTGAGCTAGCTTAGTTAACATTTTCTGCTTGAGCTTCCAAAAAGTGAGGATGAGTCATCAATGAGAAAAATGGACTCCAAAAAATCAAGTACCATTTTAGTACACCAAAAGCCTATGAAAACTAGAAACTATTCAGACTTACTCTCTCGCCATATGTTCAGGATTATAACCATTCTGAGATCTAACGGAGCGTAGGATTGCAAGACCCATTTGAGTATCATCAGTGTATATTAACATCTTATTATCAGCTAAGAATGCAAATTACAAATACAAAATCTCTACATACCACCGATAATAGTCTTGTGAAACAACTGAGAGGCAACGTCATATGTTGTTGTTGGTTTGTCTTCAAAAACATAGCCATAACAATCGCCTATTAAACCACCAAGCAGAACGCCACGACAGAAAGATAGATTTGTCAAAGCCATGTGAAATTAACAGTTAAATTATAAGAAGCTGGTAGGTTGTTGAAAACTTTCTTTTCGTTTATGCTATTCTAGTGAATTTGAAACCGTCTCAATTTTCCGTCTTACAGTGAAGAAAACGACTGTGTAAACAACGTTTTGGTGATGTTTGTTAGTTAAATAACTTTCTTGTAATCCAGTATGTAGAGGTACCTAAAGGTAAAAAAAAATTACGACAGTTTTAATGAACAGTTACAGAAATAATCCGATTATGTAGGGAAAACAAAGAAGTAATAAGTGGAAGATTGACATGAGTATTAACTGAATATATTTTCTGGGAAGGATTTGAGGACGAACAAATAACTAACAAAACAGGCCATGTAATCTGTCAGTAAATCTTAAGTAATACGCTACCATAACTTTCTCCTCATAAACTTTACTGAAAATCTGTGGTATTGTACAAAATCTAAGCATGATCTAATCCTTCAGTGTACTGATCTAAGGAAGCAGTTACGTAAAAGTCAGCTGTGATATGGTAGTAGCATTTCTACTGATCGCTCAATTGGTATTTGATCCACACAATTAACAGAATATCCTAAGTACACTAAATTTCATTACCATCCATAGATTTTCCAAACAGCGCCGAGTCTTGATGAGTATTGTATTTAACTATGAAAAGCTACACTATCAGCATTATAGCCAGACGTACTTGATTTCCGCAGAAAATGAATGACTGCAGATTTAACAACAAAACCCAACGCTGGGACGAATTATCCACTGTGGACCAACGAAATCCTTCAGCATAAGAAATATGCATTCTACATTCAGAAGGGTTCAGAATCTCCCTGTTTTCATTGGGTCACGGACAGCATGTCATTATTTAACGGCAAATTCAGACTTAAAAATGTTAGATGACACAGTTTTTACTGGAATCACAAAGGTTACTTTTATTACCTTATAAATACCTTGGATTAAGTCTAAAGAGAGCTAAGTAGAGGCACTGCACCTTCACTTAAAATGTGAACACGTAATGGTCACATAGAGTCCATACTATCCTTCTCTTAAATATTACAAGTAACAATATTTCACTTCATCAGTATTTGATTACGGTGTGCAGAGGTTTAGAAATTGACTTCAAATTCAATATATCTCTTCATGTCCTCAACAAACATGTTATCGATTTTTCTCACCAGTATAAAGAGAGCATGAATGCACCGTTTGACTAACAGTTATCAACGGAGATTAGTCACTCACTCTAGATGATTTTATGTGTCCCAAATCTGGTGGAATTAGATAAAAATATAGTTTTGAACGCATCACAGATCCAGCTTACGAAAAATTCAAGTCACAATTTTGCGAGAATTCAGTAAGAAAAGTTGTCTTATTATTTTAATGAAATTTGCTATGAAACATAACACCATATTCAGTCTTTGAAAAAACAACAGGCGATTATTTTGTCAATTGAAAACATATGATTATTGACACAGAGTTATAATAGCTTCATGTAAATGTATTCATGTATCACAATTCAATTACTGGAGGAAGTTAAAGAGGAGAGAATGGATGAAGGCCAAGAACAAAACCTGCCTAAGTTTATTGCTTCTAGTATGAATCTAACCTGTCGACGAACTTCATAGATTTGGACATTGACGCCAGCTTATGACGCTGGTTTAGGAATTATCGCAACAATTTTAGAAATGATTTTCACAAACGAAAGGACCCAGCTAGCAGAGGTTGAGAATCGATTCTTAATTATTCACAAGCTAATCAACTTTTTCAAAGGTATAGAATTCATCCAAATGTACATCAGGAAGAGACTACACTTCCTCGTTAGGATTAGTGAGACAAAATTAAGAATACTAGTATACTACATAACTGAGATCCACTTAAAAATCCCAAAGTACTCAATGAACTAACTATAGTATATATACGTATCGTAGGATGGCGAATAGTCTGCGGCCAGATATATATAAAATCCAGAATTTATAAATTCTGGATTTTATATTGCTCTTTTCAAATGATGCCCTGTATAAAGTGTCTGAAATATGTAGGGAGCTCTCATGAATTCCTAAACATCCAATCGGACAAATGTGGGGACAAAAAGGGGAGTACATGCCGTTAGTCATGCATGACTAATGGGATATGCTTTCGGTATACTATTACGTTTCAGCCATATTATGGTTTGTGGAACATATAAATTCTGTTTAAAGTAAAGAGGGAGATGACTATTTGTGGAGATTTAATTTATTTCATGTAAAAATTCGTTGACAAAAATTGACTCAGACCAAACTCACCTCACTTTCTGTTTGGTTGTCCTTGAGGGGCAGAATTAGAGCGGTAAGTTTAAATACTGTGTAGCATTGATATTGTGTAATGCAATGGAAACCGATACAATGCCACTAAACAAGTTTCTTTTTCTTCTTTTTCAGAAAGAAACGGTGATGTGGCATCACTGGAGCAAGAGGAAGACCGGTTATCCAAACTTGTTATAAATGATGATAACTAACTTGTACCCGGGTAATTCGAGTCTGGCTTGCTTGAAATAAACGCTTCCTCCTCGCCGTCTTTGCCTTCTTCTTCACCCGTCGTGCTTGTGGTCTGTGTGCGTTATAATTGGTGTCGGAGGTGTTTTATCTACGCCGAGACATGGCAGATTACCCTCAAGATGCTCTTCCCAAGCTCTTTCCGGAGGAATGTGCCCCCACATTGCCAAGCATTCCGCCACTTCCTCGCCCACCCATGTTCCAGCCTTCCTCAGACTATCCATGCTGGAAGAAACGCATGCTGGCGTACCTCGACATCGCCCCCGCAAGCCATCATTTCATCCACGTCCTCAACAGCCTGTCCGACGACGCCTACGCTCTAGCTGACGCGGCTGGGTTCAGCAACACCAACCCCATGCGCACCAACTGGGAGATACTAGACCAATGCTTTGACTTGAGACAGAGCTCGCAGCACACCATGCTCAGATTCTACTCCCGTCGACAATTACCAGGGGAGAGTTTCCTGGACTACCTCCATGCCCTCCAGCTCCTGGCAGCTGGCCTTGACTGCCACAAGGACCTCCCCAGCCGAGACCAGGCAGTATGCACACGCTTCGTCGAGGGAATGATGCCAGGAGAACTGCGCACACACCTACGACGTCAGCTCCCAACCAGCACAGTCGAACTACAGCGAATTATCCTCCATTTCATGGACGCGGAGAACGATTACACGCCTACACCCAGCAGCTCTCGATATCCACTGCCAACAGTACCCACAGCAGCCACCATGACTCCCGTCCGCAGTGACCGTTCCAGAAGCCAACGGCGTTCAAATGAGGATGCTACGCGTGGATGTTACTACTGCCAACGTTACGGGAAGAAGGCCCGCAAGTGCGGGCACAACCGTCAGCCCGACCGCAGTAAGTCCCCTATTTTTAACCTGTCTACATACTCTCGGTCACAGCAACCTTTGATGTTATGGGGATATATTAATGGCGTACCCTCTAAAGTTCTCTTAGATACTGGTGCGTCGGTTTCGCTCGTAAAGGCGGCCTTCCTTCGACGCGTGCCCCAGCACTCACCCCCAGTAACCGCACATAATATCTTGACGACGGCTAACGGCGCTAAATTGGAAGCTCGATCTGCTACAGATCTACAGCTGCGCCTGGGAGACTTAAATGTGCATCATCGGTTCCTTATCTGTACGCAAATAACATGGGACCTCATCCTCGGAGTAGACTTCATGACGTCCCACCAAACCCTGATAGATATTCCCAATTCTCGCGTCACAATCGACTCCGTTCCTGTAGCATTGTATAGACCCCAACAACAGACCTCTTCGGAGTTAAGGGTACCAATATCTACCACCTTAAATCAAATTTCGGTTGACCCATCCGCCCCTGCGCCTCTCCGAGAGCGAATGCTAGAATTAATTGGTGTATACGCGGATGTGTTTGATGATGGGGCTAATCCAGGACGAACTGGAGTGGTCAAGCACCGTATCGATACCGGCAGCCATCCGCCGGTGCGCCAGCCATCCAGACGCATCCCGGTGCATTATCAGCCCCAACTAGAACGTTTGCTACAGGACATGTTGGATAAAAATATCATCGTACCTTCCTCGTCCCCATGGGCGTCACCTATTGTGTTAGTTAAGAAGAAAGATGGATCCCTCCGTATGTGTATCGACTACCGCAGGTTGAACGCCGTGACGAGACGTGATTCCTTCCCGATCCCTCGCATTGACTCTACTCTCGACGCACTGAGTGGCTCGAAATGGTTCTCCACGTTAGATTTAGCATCTGGGTACTGGCAAGTTGAGGTACACCCTGACGACTGCCCAAAGACTGCCTTCATCCTTCCGACTGGGTTATATGAATTTCGCACCATGCCCTTTGGTTTGTGTAATGCCCCCGCCACTTTTCAACGGCTGATGCAAGTTGTCCTAGATAAGTTAGTTCCACAACAATGTTTAATATATCTTGATGACATCGTTGTCCACGGAAAATCCCCAGAAGAACACATAGATAACCTACGTACGGTCTTTAAACGCTTACGCACGGCGGGCTTAAAGTTGAAACCGTCTAAGTGTACCTTTCTTCAGCGAGAAGTTATTTTCTTGGGTCACCGCATT